TGAATGAATTGCAGAGTGTCTGTATTTTGCCTCTAGTCACAGCAGCAAGATAACAGGGTTGCTGTGAGTGCTACCTAATGGAAGTGGAGTGACAAATGCAGGTGGCATTGTGAGCTGCCACTCTCAGGCATCTGAAGATTTGTTTCATATGACTCTTCTGTTATACTTTTCTCTCTTATTCCCTTGATTTTCCTTTCTTGTATTATCTCTTCCTGCTTTGTTTCTTTTAGTCTTCACTTATCTTCTCTTCTTTACCTTTCTTGACACTTTTTTTCTGTATTCATCCTCCTGACTCCACCAAATTCAAGTCCTCACAGGCCCCACTCTTGCTGACCTTCCTGCCATCGAACCTCCCTTGCAGGATATTTCTTTGTTTCTTCTAAAGGAATTATTTGAATTCAGTGACCATGAAGACAACTTGTATGTTAGGTGTACAAAAAGTACAGTAAGCGAATAACGAAAATAAAGGAAAACTCTGGGGTGAAAATATTGTCTTGCTTCACAAAGCATGTAGAAGTGCACTTAGTCTAGTGGTTCATTTTCATCTTTTGATCCTTTTTGCTTTTGATATGGGTGTTATGGGGATGATTTGGGTTATTTAAATGCTGGCATTAAAAAAAATAATTCTGCCTATATGAAAATGCCAAGAAACAGTTTTGTACTTTCTCAGCTTTGTATGTCTAGCATGAAAGTGACAAGTAGCTAGATTTTGCTCCTCACTGAAAGACACGTGGATTTTAGGGTTGATAATATGAATATTTCCAGGCACACTATTGTTCACAACTGAAGTTGGCATGGAACAAGGGCAATTTGTACTTCCATTTGTGTGTGAGTCACAATTTAGACTCAGAGGAAGATTTTAGTAGTAATGCCTGCAGGACATATCATGCCAAAGTGATGATTTGTTTCTGTCATATTATTACTAATGCTCCTATTTCAGTGACTTTGAATTGGTTCAGAAATGGGCAGTATATTACGAGATATTTTATACCTATGATATGTTAATAATGGTATCTTCCAGTTCATTTCCAGGTGCAGAGCAGGATGCTATTTTAAAATTATAAATCCTTTACCACCTGAAATGAAGGTTACCTGAAATGCCTACAGCCTCTCTCTGTATGTCTTAATGACCTGATGTGTTAAGGTTAGAAGTCTTATAACAACTTCTGGGCCAGCTAGAAGAGGTATTCTTGATAATATATCCTCAATAGAAGGGCACTCTTCCTCTTTGAGATCATTTTTTCCCCTTACTCTTGCTGCAGAGCGCATTTGCCATCTCAACTTTTTTACTGAACAAGATGAAGTTACAAATGATGAAAAGATCTTGGGTTTGGGAAGTGTTTGTTAGACATCTGTTAAGGCCCAGTTTTGAAAGATATTGCTCTAAAATCTTTGTTTTGTTCTGAAAAGTAAGAACTGTACCCCAGCATTAAATATCCTAAAAGATAAGGTGTATTGTCTTCTTTTTGAGGACTCAGTTTATACTTATTTACATCCTTCAATGGATAGGTAACATCTATGGTAGAGAGTTATTAGCAGATCATCATCAACAGTGAATTATTTTTCAATGGTACTCTCTTGGAAATGTCTTCAATCCCGAAGAGCAATGAGAGGGCCCAATGTGTGTGTAAGAATGAAAAAGGCAGCATAATTATGGTATATTAACATATTTACCCAGATATAAAGAACTAGAGCATTTCATCTGAAACTTTTATGTCACCAGCACTGTTCATCAGCATTTAAAACTGCAACAAGGAAGACATTTCTAAATGCATATGTCCAAATCCTCTACTGGTTAAACTGTGATGCCACCAGTGAATTGAGCAGTGCTCAGTGCGTGCCTGAAAGATTTGGGAATCCAAGGGCAAAGTGACTCCATCAATCATGGGAAATTCTCCCTCATCAATGTCGATTTGGTTGCACAAAGGAAAACAAAGTAGAGTCCTGAGATTTGCTGAGTGAATTTAAAATGTTGCACAGGACTTCACCTATGTCTGATATCACCTCCAAGAGAGAGCAGAAAACCACTTTCAGCTTCAATTCTGCTCACTGCAGAGTATGAGCAAACAGAGTCTGACCATTTCACGCTATATTCAAACATTTCTTTAAAAAAAATCTTGTTGCACAAAGTAATATGTTTCAAGGTATCATGCAGTACAATGTTCAAAAGCTTGTTTGGATAGTTATTCAAGTAAACACTGAATTACTCAGAATCAAAGGAAATAGGCACTAGAGCTACATAGCATTATTTAAATAGCTCAGAGGGGTTTTATTTAAAAGAGTGTGAGTCACTGCTGAATTTTAAAGAAACATGCTATTTGAGACACCAGTGCATAAAGGGGGCCCTATCATTAGCATTTTGCTTCCTGACGCTAATTTATAGCACAGTGTAGTGTTGCATCAAATCATTGTCAAACAGATAATGCCAATGCTCCATTCAGAGCTTTCACATCAGCTGCAGAATGACAGATAACGAGGCTGCTTTTGCCTAAATAAAGCAATGCATCTGTTAGAGTCCTAAATGACTTCTTGCATGGGGTGTTCTTCAATTAAGCAAACTCAGGCAAGCTGGAATGAAACTTCACCTACTGAAATATGCAGAAGGAGAAAGTAAAACAATTCATTACCTTGTGAAATGAAAACCACTTTGTGTAGTCTATTGTGATTCAGCAGCACACACCAAAATATATTCTACCCTCATTTAAAAGTAAGGCTACCAAACCAGATGTTATCAGAAGCGATGTAACAAAGAATACACTACATAGCCAAAGTCAAAGTCACACAACCTGTGTAGAGAGGTACCTGGACCTTCTGCTTCCAGTTATCTTACCAGGTAATTTCATAGGGACTAGGGAAGGCCATAAATAAACTGAGCACATCTTAACATCCCAGTAGCTATTATCCCATATGCTACACAGTCTTTATGCAAGAGTCTAAGAGGGCTAATTTATCCCCTCCTCTTTCTCAAATATTTCTGTATCCCAGGTAGGATAAGGACTGTGTATTTCTGCTATAAGACCTACTACTATGATGTTTTTAGCCAATGCTGCACATCAAAAGGTCTCAGCCACACTGCCTTGGCCTGGGGGATAGAGCAGATGTTTCAAAGTTTATTTTACATTTTTAATCTCTTAACTCTGGATTTCACACCTTAATTTATTTTTTTAAATTAATTTTTAAGTTTCACATGGTAATTTTTTAAAACGCCACCGTAGGTGTTTCTCTCTTCTGGAAAATGCCATGAAATGGCCCAAACCACACATGCTCTGCTTTCCAGGCTTACATATACTGACCCTTTAAGCACACGCATCTACCTCCACCTACCTGTACAAAAGTAAGTTAGCTTTCATTTAAGATAGGTAACTAACTGTGCTGACTGACCAGCAAAGTGTTTAAAACACCCCTAAACACTCTGCCACACATATGTACTAAGCAGTCTTAAAAATCTTTCCAATAGTTTTCTATTCATCCTTTAAATTGCTCCCAGGTCCCAGTGCAGCCAATGCTCCTGTCCAATGCTCCCACTGTTGGTTGGGAACATCGCAATGGTTTCTGCCCTTAGCTGCTGCTTTTGGAGGTCCCCAACCCACTTTCAGGGTTGCTCAGTTGCTTCAGCTGCTAATTCTCTCCTGAAACAATAGAGGACAGATTTTTCATCTTCCTAATAAGTTAGGATGGCTGAAAGTGATTATTCATTTCAGCAAAAGGACCCAGTAGTACTTTCAATCTGTTACCCAGGCAGGTAGATATGATCACTCAACGGGAAAGAATCATCACTCGTAAAGTCAGATAATGTTAAGCCATATTCAAGATAGATTGGATGTTAGTGGCACTGTGCATAATTCCTCCATACATATGTCAACAGCACAATAGTAGACAACAGAAAAAAGATGCACATCGATTTCTGCACTTTATCATAGACATTTATTCACAGCAACTAACAAATGTCATTGAGGTTAAAGTTTAATAGCCCAGTGAGGCAGCGATGCTTTATTCCACCTGGATTTACAGCATGATGCAGCATTTCCTACGTAATTAAATATAAAATGTGGCTGTCAAAGCAAATGAACTAGACATTATTAAACATTTTTAGATGCTTGCAAGGCTAAGCTCTACTAATGATACTATGGTGACCCTTTGGGGACAGCTTTGAGTGCAAGGCTCATGGGCTGTTAAGTGCCATTCTCTGTCTCCTAGGAGAAAAACATGATAAGTAAGGTAGACTTTTCCACTGGACTGGATTCAACTCTGGGTCACCAGTGGCTATAATTAGTGTTTACATCAGGCAGTCCCAAACTGTGCCAGAACGAAATATTTTGGAAACAGGTGTCTACCATCACAACGTGTGCTCTGATTTCTGCAGGAAACAGCTGGATTTCTCTCTTTTTTCCTCTCTCTTTATCTCTTTTTTTCCCTCTTATACCCATTTCATTACAATTCAAACAGCAGCTATTTTGGTCCACAAAATAAGAAAAATATGCTTGGATCAGCCTAGAAGCTACCATTCATAATTTAAAGACATTGCAGTCTAAATATTATACCATACATCAGCACGTCATATCACAGCATCAAAATCTTGAGATGAGTATTTTCAGAAGCCTGAATTGAAATTTCTCAAAAAAAAACC